CATCCCAGGGTGAAGACCCAAACCACCAGGTTACATCCCAGGGTGAAGACCCAAACCACCAGGTCACATCCCAGGGTGAAGAACCAAGCCACCAGGTCACATCCCAGGGTGAAGAACCAAGCCATCAGGTCACATCCCAGGGTGAAGACCCAAACCACCAGGTCACATCCCAGGAGTGAAGACCCAAACCACCAGGTCACATCCCAGGGTGAAGAACCAAGCCATCAGGTTACATCCCAGGGTGAGGAACCAAGCCACCAGGTCACATCCCAGGGTGAAGACCCAATCCACCAGGTCACATCCCAGGGTGAGGAACCAAGCCACCAGGTCACATCCCAGGGTGAAGAACCAAGCCATCAGGTTACATCCCAGGGTGAAGAACCAAGCCATCAGGTTACATCCCAGGGTGAGGAACCAAGCCACCAGGTCACATCCCAGGGTGAGGAACCAAGCCACCAGGTCACATCCCAGGGTGAAGACCCAAGCACCAGTCACATCCCAGGGTGAGGAACCAAGCCACCAGGTCACATCCCAGGGTGAGGAACCAAGCCACCAGGTCACATCCCAGGGTGAGGAACCAAGCCACCAGGTCACATCCCAGGGTGAAGACCCAAGCCACCAGGTCACATCCCAGGGTGAGGAACCAAGCCACCTCAGTGGAAATAAGCCACACCACTTGATTTTTCCTGGGACTGGGAAATGAAAATTGAAAAATAAGAAAAGTCGATGGATATAGAAGGTTCGCGTGGAGAGATTCCTTGGATTTATACGATTCTGTGAGGAGGTGATATTGTTGCAGAATGTTGCAGGATGTTGTTGGATGTTGCCCAGAGTGGATTGTTTGTGTTTGTGTGTGTGTGTGTGTGTGTGCGCGTGTGTGTGTGTGTGTGTGTGTACTCACCTATTTGTACTCACCTATTTGTGGTTGCAGGGGTCGAGTCTTAGCTCCTGGCCCCGCCTCTTCACCGGTTGCTACTGGGCCCTCTCTCTCCCCGCTCCATGAGCTTTATCAAACCTCGTCTTAAAACTGTGTATGGTTCCTGCCTCCACTACGTCATTTTCTAGGCTATTCCAATGCCTTACAACTCTATGACTGAAGAAATACTTCTTAATATCTCTCTGACTCATTTGTGTCTTCAACTTCCAATTGTGGCCTCTTGTTTCTGTGTCCCCTCCCTGGAACATCCTGTCTTTGTCCACCTTGTCTATTCCACGCAGTATTTTATATGTCGTTATCATGTCTCCCCTGACCCTCCTGTCCTCCAGTGTCGTCAGGCCGATTTCCCTTAATCTTTCTTCATAGGACATTCCCCTTAGCTCTGGAACTAACCTTGTCGCAAACCTTTGTACTTTCTCTAGTTTCTTGACGTGCTTTATCAAGTGCGGGTTCCAAACAGGTGCTGCATACTCCAGTATGGGCCTGACATACACGGTGTACAGTGTCTTGAACGATTCCTTACTAAGGTATCGGAATACTGTTCTCAGGTTTGCCAGGCGCCCATATGCTGCAGCAGTTATCTGGTTGATGTGTGCTTCCGGAGACATGCTCGGTGTTATACTCACCCCAAGATCTTTCTCCTTGAGTGAGGTTTGCAGTCTTTGGCCACCTAGCCTATACTCGGTCTGTGGTCTTCTGTGCCCTTCCCCTATCTTCATGACTTTGCATTTGGCAGGATTAAATTCGAGAAGCCATTTGCTGGACCAGGTGTCCAGTCTGTCCAGGTCTCTTTGAAGTCCTGCCTGGTCCTCATCAGATTTAATTCTCCTCATTAACTTCACATCATCTGCAAACAGGGACACTTCTGAGTCTAACCCTTCCATCATGTCGTTCACATATACCAAAAATAGCACTGGTCCTAGGACCGACCCCTGTGGGACCCCGCTCGTCACAGGTGCCCACTGTGATACATCATTACGTACCATGACTCGTTGTTGTCTCCCTGTCAGATATTCTCTGATCCATTACAGTGCCCTTCCTGTTATATGCGCCTGATGCTCTAGCTTCTGCACTAATCTCTTGTGAGGAACTGTGTCAAAGGCCTTCTTGCAGTCCAAGAAGATGCAATCAACCCACCCCTCTCTCTCGTGTCTTACTTCTGTTATTTTATCATAAAACTTCAGAAGGTTTGTGACACAGGATTTGCCTTCCATGAATCCGTGCTGGTTGGCATTTATACTCTTGTTCCGTTCCAGGTGCTCCACCACTCTCCTCCTGATAATCTTCTCCATAATTTTGCATACTATACACGTCAATGACACATGTCTATAGTTTAGTGCCTCTTTTCTGTCTCCTTTTTTAAAAATGGGAACTACATTTGCCGTCTTCCATACCTCAGGTAGTTGCCCAGTTTCCAGGGACGTGTTGAAGATTGTGGTAAGTGGCACGCACAACATATCTGCTCCCTCTCTAAGGACCCACGGGGAGATGTTGTCCGGTCCCATTGCCTTTGAGGTATCGATGTCCCTTAGCAGTTTCTTCACCTCCTCTTCATCTGTATGTATGTCGTCCAACACTTGTTGGTGTATTCCTTGCTGGTGTCCCCATCTGGTCTGTCCCCCCAGTGTGTGTGTGTGTGTGTGTCTGGCTTTCATGATGTACGTGACCAGCATTGTTCTTCAGCCCTGTTACTGTTACTGTTACTATTGCTGCTGCTGTTGCTGTTGCTATTGTCGCTGCTGTTGTTGCTACTTTTGTTGTTACTGCTTTGGCTGCTATTTTGCTTTATCTTCTTCTTTATCTCCTCCTCTCTCTTGTTGTTGTTGTTGTTCTGAGGTTAATACTCTGATCTTTGTGGCTGTGGACAAAGTCATCTTAATGAAACACTAAGACCACATAATCCCTTGAGGTCTGTAAGACCCAGTAAGTCTTGGTAGTCTTAAAGATGGTCACAAGACGTTCGTAAACATGGTGTTCTTAAAGAACGTTTTCCTTCAACAATATGTTACTTACTACACCACAAGGCTCTTGTGCTGTAGTATATATATATATATATATATATATATATATATATATATATATATATATAATATATATATATATATAATATATATATATATATATATATATATGTTTCTTTCAACAGTCTTTGGTGCGGAACTCTATCAAATGCCTTACTAAAATCTAAGTAAATAATATCAAATTCTTTATCGTGGTCAACAGCCTCAAAAGCTTTACTGAAGAAAGTTAATAAATTAGTTAGACAAGACCGGCCTCTTGTGAATCCATGTTGAGTATCATTAATCAAGCTATGCTTATCGAGATGGCTTCTTATAACCTCAGCTATAATTGACTCTAGCAACTTGCCTACAATTGAGGTCAGGCTTATTGGGCGGTAATTTGACGGTAACGACTTGTCCCCTGTTTTAAAAATAGGAATTACATTAGCCATCTTCCACATATCAGACACTACACCTGTTTGAAGAGATAAATTAAAAATATTAGTTAATGGTTCACAGACTTCCATTTTGCATTCCTTAAGAACCCTTGAAAAAACCTCATCAGGACCCGGTGACTTATTTTGCTTCAGTCTGTCTATCTGCTTCACAACCATTTCACTAGTGACTGTGATGTTACATAATTTATCTTCTTCTGATCCAAGGACCACAATGGTAGTACAAGGTCCACAATGGTAGTACAAGGACCACAATGGTAGTACAAGGACCACAATGGTAGTACAAGGACCACAATGGTAGTACAAGGTCCACAATGGTAGTACAAGGACCACAATGGTAGTACAAGGACCACAATGGTAGTACAAGGACCACAATGGTAGTACAAGGACCACAATGGTAGTACAAGGACCACAATGGTAGTACAAGGACCACAATGGTAGTACAAGGACCACAATGGTAGTACAAGGACCACAATGGTAGTACAAGGACCACAGTGGTAGTACAAGGACCACAATGGTAGTACAAGGACCACAATGGTGGTACAAGGACCACAATGGTAGTACAAGGACCACAATGGTAGTACAAGGACCACAATGGTAGTACAAGGACCACAATGGTAGTATAAGGACCACAATGGTAGTACAAGAACCACAATGGTAGTACAAGGACCACAATGGTAGTACAAGGACCACAATGGTAGTACAAGGACCACAATGGTAGTACAAGGACCACAATGGTAGTACACGGACCACAGTGGTAGTACAAGGACCACAGTGGTAGTACAAGGACCACAGTGGTAGTACAAGGACCACAATGGTAGTACAAGGACCACAATGGTAGTACAAGGACCACAATGGTAGTACAAGGACCACAATGGTAGTACAAGGACCACAATGGTAGTACAAGGACCACAATGGTAGTACAAGGACCACAGTGGTAGTACAAGGACCACAATGGTAGTACAAGGACCACAATGGTAGTACAAGGACCACAGTGGTAGTACAAGGACCACAATGGTAGTACAAGGACCACAATGGTAGTACAAGGACAACAGTGGTAGTACATAAGAACATAAGAACGAAGGAACACTGCAGCAGGCCTACTGGCCCATGCGAGGCAGGTCCAAGTCTCCTACCGGCTTAAGCCAATGCACCCAACCTAGTCAGGTCAGGTCACATTGACTTAAGGGAGGATCACGGCAACCGACCTGGTAGCACAAGCTATGAGGTCCAACTCACACCCACCCACATCCACTCATGTATTTATCCAACCTATTTTTAAAGCTACACAACGTTCTGGCCTCTATAACGGTACTCGGGAGTTTGTTCCACTCATCCACAACTCTATTACCAAACCAGTACTTTCCTATATCCTTCCTGAATCTGAATTTTTCCAACTTAAAACCATTGCTGCGAGTCCTGTCTAGGCTAGATATTTTCAGCACACTATTTACATTCCCTTTATTTATTCCTGTCTTCCATTTATACACATTTATACAAGGACCACAATGGTAGTATAAGGACCACAATGGTAGAACAAGGACCACAATGGTAGTACAAGGACCACAGTGGTAGTACAAGGACCACAATGGTAGTACAAGGACCACAATGGTAGTACAGGGACCACAATGGTATTACAAGGACCACAATGGTAGTACAAGGACCACAATGGGAATAAGTCACTTTGACATTCTGAGTTGTCCTGGTATAATAATTGTACTTATGTGCACCTGTGCCTAAATAAACTTACTTAGGTACTTACTAAGTATCTTGCCCACGCCTACCACTATTAATACCCATTTCCTGCCCCCAGCGCTGCCCGTGGACGTGTACCAGATGTGGGTACAGTACCCGTGGCCGTGGGGGGACGTGGCCTGCCGTATGAGAGCCGTGGTACCAGAGACATTGGCGTACGTGTCCGTGCTGACCATCCTGGCAGTGTCAGGGGAGAGATATGTGGCCATCACGGACCCCGTGTACGCCCGCACCACGCACACCCTAGCACGGACCGCCCGTGTCCTCCCTGTCATCTGGTTCATCTCCCTGCTAGCATCATCTCCCTGGGGGTACTATAACCAGGTAAGATGTTCTTGTACCAGTGTTGTTCATGTTGTTTAGTGTTCTTATTCCAGTGTTGTTTACATTGTTCCAGTGTTCTTATTCCAGTGTTCTTATTCCAGTGTTCTTGTTCCTGCTTCGACTCACCTCTCTACGGTATATAAGTCACTTCTCCGGCCATATGCTGTACTTTCTGTATGAGTAATGGACTAAACACATTGATTCCAGACTGAGGGACTGATTACCTCAAACTCCTCCTCTTCTTACCCCTCTCTACTTTGTATTGGACTGATGAGACTACGGTGTGGCAAAACGTTTCCTTAATAAAGATTCCCATATATTGCATAAGTGTCTCAATCTAGAGTCAGGTTATTACTAATGGTCTCTGATCCTCTTCGTAGAGTCAGATAATAAGATGTGATCCTATTAATTTCGCCCAATGCGTTCGCCCGCAGCGAAGCGCTAAACCTGTGTCCGATTCTCCAGGTGAACTTGTTGACGAGTCCTTCTGGCTACGACCTCCCTCAGAGCGCCTGGTGCGCCATCCCTTACAACGACACGTCCACCCGCTGGTCGTGGCTTATGTTCGTGTCGTCCGTGGGGGCTTTCATCCTCCCCATGACCGTCCTAATCTTCCTCTACTGCAAGATAGGTAAGTACCGGGTGTACCTGTGGGAAATTTTACGCACGGCAGCGCCTCAGGTGTCTTGGGGATTCTTGAATGGTCTTTGGGGATTCTTGAAGGGTCTTTGGGGATTCTTGAAGGGTCTTTGGGGATTCTTGAAGGGTCTTTGGAGATTTTTGAAGGGTCTTTGGGGATTCTTGAAGGGTCTTGGGGATTCTAGAAGAGTCTTGAGACTTCTTGGAGAGTCTTGTCGGAATTACACGAGTATATTATCATTAGGGTGATTGAGGGTCCTGGAGTTTACCAGTGTTGACTTGTGCCATATCCCGCACTTACACTTACTCTTTCTTCTCATCAAGAAAGTGGAAGCTTTCCTGCTCTACCCACCCCACTCCACCCACTCCACCCACCCACCATCACCTCTTTGATGTACAAAGGTAAAATTTCAGTCCTCTCTCGTCTTCACTGGAAAGTTCAGAGTTGAGACTCTGCTCATTTTTTTTCTTGACGTCTCCTGCGCATACTTTCTACTTTCCCTGAAAATATTCCCCCTTTTTATGATGCCTGGGATCCCCATCTTGGGGTAATATAGGTGTGGGAAGGTGATATTTGCTTCTAAGTATATGTACCTGTGGCTAAACAGAGTAGCGAGAGTACACGGGGACAGCTTATAAACCTATTATAAACCTCATATAAGCCTCTTTCCCCACATATAAACCTCTTTTGGAGTTTTACAAGTGATTATCAGTCATAAAACGTCTCTATATCAGTGTCACAACAAGCACTTGACTAACCAGGCTGTGTGTGCAGGTATGGTGCTGTCCATCGACCCTCCCAGCAGGACTCCATCAGCAGGTACTGGAGCCATCCACACCCGGAAGGTCGGCATCAGGATGCTGGGTGAGTCTGCTGGCCAACATCTGGGGTATCTTTATTCTGGAAACGTTTCGCCAGCTAGTGATTTCTTCAGTCCGATGCTAAGAAAGGTGGAGGATGAGAAGGAGTTTGAAGGAATCAGTCCCTCAAGATTGATGGACTGGACACATCGACTCCAGGCCGGGGGACTGATTTCCCTCAAGGGAGGTTCCTTCATGCTGGTGAGGGGCTCTTGAACTAGGGAATTGGATCTGTGCTCCAATTATCTGAATTAAACCTGAATACCTTCCATCACTCACAGGCACTGTGTAATCCCTATTGGTTTAGCGCTCCCCCATAATTATAATAATGAGGGACTGATTACCTCAAACTCTCCTCTATATCTTCCACCTTGTTCTCTGCATTGGACTGAAGAAGCCACTGTGTCGGTTTACTAATTTATTGACAATCTCTTTATTACTCTATTATCATCAAAATTATTATTTTTTGAGTCTATAAAAATAAAAATTACATAAAATATTATTTTTAAAATTTTTTAATTTATTATTCACATTGGGGGGTAAAATTTTAAATAGTTTTTACAAAAAATTTATGGGTTTAATTGGGCCTTATTAACGCAAATTAAGTTCATTTATAGATCGACAACCCTGCCCAACCCTTCTAGGGTAAAGGGGAGGTGCCCCGAGCCCGACCTTTACTCATAAGACGATTCCCATTCCCCTTGAGGCGGGGATGGCAGACCAGAGAGGCCTACTTGTGGTAGCCTGGGGCAGTTGGTCCCCCAAAAGGGGGTAAATTTGTACCCCCCTCCCCTGGGGGAAATTTGGTTTCCCGACCTCCCTAAAAAAGGGAGCCAAGCCGGGCCACCATTTTGGGAAAAAGGGCCCGGGGGCCGGGGGAATCCGGCGAATATTTAATAATAATAAAATAACATTTATATTAGTTGGGACAACAATTCGTAATGATAATAATAATAATTAATAATAATTAGAATTATAAAATGTTTTGAAGCAGGGTGGAGTGGTCAGCCAGTTTTGGTCAGGTGACCAAAACTTCCAGTTGTGGGTCATCACATGACTTAACACAGTTGTGGGTCATCACATGACTTAACACAGTTGTGGGTCATCACATGACTAACACAGTTGTGGGTCATCACATGACTTAACACAGTTGTGGGTCATCACATGACTTAACACAGTTGTGGGTCATCACATGACTTAACAACAGTTGTGGGTCATCACATGACTTAACACAGTTGTGGGTCATCACATAACTTAACACAGTTGTGGGTCATCACATGACTTAACACAGTTGTGGGTCATCACATGACTTAACACAGTTGTGGGTCATCACATGACTTAACACAGTTGTGGGTCATCACATGACTTAACACAGTTGTGGGTCATCACATGACTTAACACAGTTGTGGGTCATCACATGACTTAACACAGTTGTGGGTCATCACATGACTTAACACAGTTGTGGGTCATCACATAATTTAACACAGTTGTGGGTCATCACATGACTTAACACAGTTGTGGGTCATCACATGACTTAACACAGTTTGTGGGTCATCACATGACTTAACACAGTTGTGGGTCATCACATGACTTAACACAGTTGTGGGTCATCACATGACTTAACACAGTTGTGGGTCATCACATGACTTAACACAGTTGTGGGTCATCACATAACTTAACACAGTTGTGGGTCATCACATAACTTAACACCCGCGTCAGGAAACACTTGTCTTGTTTCCTGACAAATCTTACTTATGCTGTCATAGTAATTTAGTAAAAATAAATGTATTGATAAGAACAATAGTGGTATTAATACTATTGTTATTGTTACAAATAAGTACAGTACAGTTTAGCCCACATTTAAAATATTTTGCATTTTCTTTTCTATTTTTCATCTTATTCCCAGATTATAAATGTTCTCCAGTGATGAACATTGTCAAGGTCTTGTGACGGTCCAGGAACATGCAGTCCAGCCATCCTTGTTCTCTCTGATTTATAACAACCCCTCAAGTAACTTAAATAAGTTCATAAGACACGATTTCAGTTCTTGTATCCGTGCTGGTGTTATTTTCTCTCTCTCTCTCTCTTCTTGACCCCTACCATGCCTACTCCTGCAGCTGCGTAATGGAGCTTTCTTACAGTGAGCACTTAGAAACACCCTCCAGGTATACTCAAAGTACTGCTTTCCAAAAATATTAGGACGCAGTGTGTGTAGTGTGCATGGTGTGTCTTGCAGTAGCCGTGGTGATGGCGTTCTTCCTGTGCTGGGCCCCTTTCCACGCCCAGAGATTACTCTTTGTCATAGTCACCAGCTACGGCAACTGGAGCGCTTACCTTAGATCCGTCAACTCTAAACTCTACTACTGCACTGGTGAGTCAAGTCAGCACGGTATTGTGACTAGTGTTATTGTTCTGGTCACGGTATTGTGACTAGTGCTGTTGTTCTAGCCACGGTATTGTGACTAGTGTTATTGTTCTTGCCACGGTATTGTGACTAGTGTTGTTGTTCTAGTCACGGTATTGTGACTAGTGCTGTTGTTCTAGCCACGGTATTGTGACTAGTGCTGTTGTTCTAGCCACGGTATTGTGACTAGTACTGTTGTTCTAGCCACGGTATTGTGACTAGTGCTGTTGTTCTAGCCACGGTATTGTGACTAGTGCTGTTGTTCTAGCCACAGTAGTATGACTAGTGTTGTTGTTCTAGTCACGGTATTGTGACTAGTGCTGTTGTTCTAGCCACGGTATTGTGACTAGTGTTATTGTTCTGGTCACGGTATTGTGACTAGTGCTGTTGTTCTGGCCACAGTATTGTGACTAGTGTTATTGTTCTGGCCACAGTATTGTGACTAGTGATGTTGTTTTAGCCACGGTATTGTGACTAGTGTTATTGTTCTGGCCACGGTATTGTGACTAGTGTTATTGGTCTGGCCACAGTATTGTGACTAGTGCTGTTTTTCTGGTCACGGTATTGTTACTAGTGTTATTGTTCTGGTCACGGTATTGTGACTAGTGCTGTTGTTCTAGCCACGGTATTGTGACTAGTGCTGTTGTTCTAGCCACAGTAGTATGACTAGTGTTGTTGTTCTAGTCACGGTATTGTGACTAGTGCTGTTGTTCTACCCACGGTATTGTGACTAGTGCTGTTGTTCTAGCCACGGTATTGTGACTAGTGCTGTTGTTCTAGCCACAGTAGTATGACTAGTGCTGTTGTTCTACCCACGGTATTGTGACTAGTGCTGTTGTTCTACCCACGGTATTGTGACTAGTGCTGTTTAGAAGTTTTCAGCTTCTGAAATACAATCTCGCGTCATTGGCTGTAAGTTAGAGAATAATCCATGATTTGCCAGTCACAACCAATCACCTATAACCCTGACTAATCCCTCCAGTAATCCTTAATAATAATCCACATGGAGACAGAAACTCAGCAGAGTAATCGATCCTTACATTTCTACCCCCTTTCTGGGGTCCTCTTCAGCAGATACCAGACATCTAAAACCTATGTAGAATCCCTTAACAATCTTCTTAGAACTTCTTTTCATATAGTTATTCAAGCAGGAATCTTCTTACAGCTTCTTGCTTGCTCGTCTCTCACTCACCTGACGTCTGCTGAGGATTGAGACTTCTCTTCCAGTGACTTATTTTCTTACTGTTGACATCTTTCCTGCTCAGTCTCAGTGGAGGAAATTCTCTGCTTCCTCTTCCTGCTTAATCCTCCTCCCTTTCTCTCATACTCGCTCTTCTTCTATTCCTCTACCCTAGTTAACATTTGCTTCTCTTCCTCCAAGAATAATACCTCCTTTTCCTCCTCCTCCAAGGGTAACACCTTCTCCTGCTCCTCCTCCTCCTCCTCTTCCTGCTCCTGCTGCTACTCCTCCTCCTCCTCCTCCTCCTCCTGCTCCTCCTCCCCCAAGAGTAACACCTCCTCCTCCTCCGTCCACAGGAATCTGCTACTACCTAAACTCAGCAGTCAACCCCATATTGTACTCCGTCATGTCCATAAGGTTCCGCATCGCCTTCAGACGGTCTCTGTGCGGAGGCAAAGAATGGGCGAGACGTCAGCTCTATCTCTCCACCACACACGCCCATCTCCACCTCTCCAACAACTCCAACATCCTCAACAGGACCAGGGAGCTCTCCACCACCTCCACCAGGAGGGTCGTCGACACCTGCAACAGGAATGGCATTAACTACGTCTTCGAACAGATGGAAATAGAATCTTGATGCAAAAACGGGTTCTCACCTAAACAGAATTTTAAAGATAACTTCAAAAATCAATGGTGAATTGATAGCCTCTCCGTCTAAATGATTTTGAAAAGTCGGGTCCAAGTGGGAGAGCATTTCTGGAGAAAGTTAAAGTATAAACTGATAGAAATAGAATCATGGGTTGTCACCTAAGCAGGATTTTGAAAAAAATTCCATAGATAATGTTCGTTAGAAGCTCTGGTGAACTAATAGTTTCTCCCTTTAAATGGTTTTGAATTAGATATTTTGCAGGATTTGTCGGTGAAGGTTTTAAAGTATATGGGACCTGAGGTCACCATCTTCACGCCAGAGACTTTCCAGAGTATAATAGAAATTATAATGTTAAATATTCTCTTATTCTCTCTCTCTCTCTCTCTCTCTCTCTCTCTCTCTTCTCTCTCTCTCTCTCTCTCTCTCTCTCTCTCTCTCTCTCTCTCTCTCTCTCTCTCTCTCTCTCTCATCTATCTATCTACTATCTGTCTATCTATCTACTATCTATCTATCTATCTATCTACTAATCTCTCTATCTATATATCTCCCTGAAGCTTGAAACAGAAAACTGATAACTGAGAATTTGCGGGATACAAACCTGGGTCAAACAAGCGTTAAAAGATGCAAAATAACCACAGGGACAGACGAATGATAGGTGTAGGCCTTTCCTGTTGCGGCGAACATCATCAGGCGCTTGCAGTATAAAGTCCAGGTAGAGTCGTTCCCCTGAGCGGATCGACTTTCTACCTGGACTTTCTACTTATTTCTGCAACATTGCAAGGCCTGTCGTGTTGATTGCAACACGACAGGCCTAAAGCCCTGCGTGATGCGAATTTCTGTGAAATCTCGAAAGCATTTACACCTAACTGTTGCTGTTGGCATTACCAAAATTACTGGTGTGAATTAGAGAGACTGTCCGCAAATGATTTCTGTTATGTATTCTGTATTATGCAGCTGTAATATGAGAAAGTGAGTCGGGTTTAAACACCTCAACACCTGTCATGTGTTCAGTGCATCACAGCTGTAATCTGGTAAGTGTTCAACGTGATACAACTGTAATCTGAAATGTATTTATCGTGATGCAGCTGTAATGTGAGATGTATTTGACGTGACACAGCTGTAATGTGAGATGTATTTGACGTGACACAGCTGTAATGTGAGATGTATTTGACGTGACACAGCTGTAATGTGAGATGTATTTGACGTGACACAGCTGTAATGTGAGATGTATTTGACGTGACACAGCTGTAATGTGAGATGTATTTAATGGGAGATAGCTTAAAGCTGAAATGTGCTCAACACGATACAGCTGTAATCTAAGACGTATTCAGCGTGGTAAGGTTGTATTCCGAGCAGTATTAAACACGATACAGCTGTAATCTGAAGCGCATTCAGCATCTTACACCTGTAACCGGGGCTGCATTCAGCATGTTACAGCTGTAATCCGAGTTAATCCCAACACGGTACAGCAGTTCCTGTAACACTACAGTTGCTGGTCTACTGTAACACTCACCACCACCACCTAGCTTCCACAACCAGTGAAATGTCTATGTATCCTCTGTAATTCCTCCTGTAACCTCACCCCCCACATATTAACATTCCATTTTTTCCCATATATCAATAAAAAATAATTTTGTGTATTTACTGATTATATACCTAGATTATATATATATATATATATATATATATATATATATATATATATATATATATATATATATATATTATATAATATATATGCAGTGTTTATATTAGAGGACTTAACAATGGCAGTGTTCACTTTGTAATATTGGCACTGTGCCATCCATTGTTGGTACTGAGGGTGCTGGCACTCTCTAGGAGGTAGTTGGCACTGACACTCAAAACTGGGAAAAAACTGTGCTTAGCACATTGCTGACGATGCTGTCAAAATGGCTGACTGAAAGGGTGTTGATATTAGTTATATGATCTGCTGACACCATACAGTGCTGTCAGTACACTGGTTCTGACACATACAGTTCTGTCAGTACACTGGTTGCTGACACATACAGTGCTATCAGTACACTGGTTGCTGACACCATACAGTGCTGTCAGTACACTGGTTCTGACACATACAGTGCTGTCAGTACACTGGTTGCTGACACATACAGTGCTGTCAGTACACTGGTTGCTGACACCATACAGTGCTGTCAGTACACTGGTTGCTGACACATACAGTGCTGTCAGTACACTGGTTACTGACACCATACAGTGCTGTCAGTACACTGGTTGCTGATCATACAGTGCTGTCAGTACACTGGTTGCTGACACCATACAGTGCTGTCAGTACACTGGTTGCTGATCATACAGTGCTGTCAGTACACTGGTTGCTGACACCATACAGTGCTGTCAGTACACTGGTTGCTGATCATACAGTGCTGTCAGTACACTGGTTGCTGATCATACAGTGCTGTCAGTACACTGGTTGCTGACACATACAGTGCTGTCAGTACACTGGTTGCTGATCATACAGTGCTGTCAGTACACTGGTTGCTGATCATACAGTGCTGTCAGTACACTGGTTGCTGACACATACAGTGCTGTCAGTACACTTGTTGCTGATCATACAGTGCTGTCAGTACACTGGTTGCTGACCATACAGTGCTGTCAGTACACTGGTTGCTGACCATACAGTGCTGTCAGTACACTGGTTGCTGACCATACAGTGCTGTCAGTATACTGGTTGTTACACTAATGTAACTGCTGACACCGCTGACAATCTTTCCATAAAATGTTGTCAATTAAGTTAAGGTTAAGTGACCTAATTATACCAATTACATTAACACACACACACACACACACACACACACACACACACACACACACACTGGGCCAGGAGCTGAGTCTCCACCCCTGCAACTACAATTAGGTGAGTACACACACACAGTGGAAACCGGTAGGACTCCAGGCAGTCAGAACAGGGAGCTACACCAACAAGTGCTGGATGAGGTACACATAACCGAGGCGGAGGTGAAGAAGCTGCTATGTGAACTTGATACCTCAAAGGTGGTGGGACCAGACAACATCTCTTCCTGGGTCCTTAGAGAGGGAGCAGAGATGCTGTGTGTGCCACTAACAAAGATCTTCAACACATCCATTGAAATGGCAACTTCCTGAGGTATGGAAGATGGCAAATGTAGTCCCAATTATTTAAAAGGAGAGACACGAGGCATTAAACTACAGACCTGTATCACTAACGTGTATAGTACGCAAAGTCATGGAGAAGATTATCAGGAGGAGAGTGGTGGAGCACCTGGAAAGAAACAAGCATATAATCGACAACCAGCACGATTTCAGGGAAGGAAAATCCTGTGTCACAAACCAACTGGAGTTTTATGACAAGGTGACAGAAGTAAGACAAGAGAGTGGGGTGGATAGACCGCATTTTCTAGGACTGCAAGAAGGCCTTCGACACAGTTCCTCACAAGAGGTTATTGCTAAAGCTAGAGGATCAGGCACACATAACAGGAAAGGCACTGCAATGGATCAGAGAATACCTGACAGGAAGGCAACAACGAGTCATGGTACGCGACGAGGTGTCAGAGTGGGCGCCTGTGACAAGCGGGATTCCACAGTGGTCAGTCCTAGGACCTGCGCTGTTTTTGGTATATGTAAATGACACAGCGGAAGGAATAAACTCAGAAGTGTCCTTGTTTGCAGATGATGTGAAGTTAATGAGGAGAATCAAATCGGTCGAGGATCAGGCAGGACTACAAATAGACCTGGACAGGCTAAAAGCCTGGTCCAGCAACTGGCTCCTTGAATTTAACCCTGCCAAATGCAAAGTCATGATGATCGGGGAAGGGCAAAGAAGACCGCAGATACAGTATACTCTAGGTGGCCAAAGACTGCAAACCTCACTCAAGGAAAAAGATCTTGGGGTGAGTATAACACCGAGCACATCTCCTGAGGCGCACATCAATCAAATAACTGCTGCAGCATACGGGTGTCTGGCAAACCTAAGGATAGCATTCCGATACCTCAGTAAGGAATCGTTCAAGGCTCTGTACACTGTGTACGTCAGGCTCATACTGAAGTATGCAGCACCAGTTTGGAATCCACACCTGGTCAAGCACGTCAAGAAATTAAAGAAAGTGCGAAGATTTGCAACAAGACTAGTCCCAGAGCTAAGGGGATTGTCCTACGAAGAAAAGTTAAGGGAAATTGGCCTGACGACACTGGAGGACAGGAGGGTCAGGGGAGACATGATAACGACATATATAATACTGGCCGGAATAGACACGGTGGACAAAGACAGGATGTTCCAGAGAAGGGACACAGAAACAAGAGGTCACAATTGAAATCTGAAGACTCAGATGAGTCAAAGGGATGTTAGGAAGTATTTCTTCAGCCATAGAGTTGTCAGGAAGTGGAATAGCCTAGCAACTGACGTAGTGGAGGCGGGAACCATACATAGTTTTAAGATGAGGTATGATAAAGCTCAGGGAGCAGGGAGAGAGAGAAGACCTAGAAGCGTTCTGTGAAGAGGAGGGGCCAGGAGCTGAGTCTCGACCCCTGCAACCACAATTAGGTGAGAATTAGGTGAGTACACACACACACACACACACACAACACACACACACACACACTCACACACACACACACACACACACACACACACACACACACACACACACACACACACACACACACACACACACACACACACACTCACACACACACACACACACACACACACTCACACACACACACACACACACACACACACACACACACACACACACACACACACACACACACACACACACACACACACACACACACACACACACACACACACACACACACACACACACACACACACACACACACACACACACACACACACACACATACACACACACACACACACACACACTCACACACATACATGGCTGTATTTCGTATCATTATTTAACAAAGGTTTATATTATATTTTTCCGTGTGCTAAATTTATATACATTCGATAAAATATATAACTCATATATATCCTCCATCAACATGTCAAGTATGGTCTATAAATATTTCAATAAATAATTTTTTGGTCAATGTTCGTATTTATTTTCCTGTTGTTAATAAACACATACGATAATAATAATAATAATAATAATAATAATAATAATAATAATAAATAATAATAATAATAATAATAATAATAATAATAATAATAATAATAATAATAATAATAATAACAATAATAATAATAATAATAATAATAATAATAATAATAATAATAATAATAATAATAATAATAATAATAATAACAATAATAATAATAATAATAATAATAATAATAATAATAATAATAATAATAATAATAATGTTTATTTCTACCAGTACATGA